CGACTGACAATCCCTGTGATCTAACTGAACAGCCATCTCCAACAGAGGAGGATATAAATTTCATTTTGAATGAAATTCGCCTCTATCTCTCTCCTGAACTAGTAGGTAAATTTCACTCAGTTTTCCATTCGCCTATAACTCTGTTAGATTGCTCTACATTTTTGAGCATTTACCTATGCAAGTCTACTATTCAGTCCCTATTTGGCTGCCTCAAAACAAATTAGCTGCAAATAGCCTAGCTCTTCTAAAATCGTTATGTTTTTTTGGAAGGCTCTCTAGTTTTATCACCTATGCTATATTAATACAATTATTTTCGCAATTGGACTCTTGGCATATGCACTTTTTGATATTATACTACCAAAAATTCATATTTTGAGCTTTTATAGCTGCAAACTAAGACATATCTAAGAGACAAAAACTAAAGCAGGTATAGGCCATATAATCCCGACGAGTTGTATTTATCTTGCTAAATGAATAAAATCTATTGCTGAGCCCACACATTTCGAGTGGAAATATGTGATGAAGGTATTTGAAGTTCGATCTATTGGTAGACGATGGCGGATTCCTCTTTACTCGTTGTTGATTGACATTACTTAAATATTCTTGCTGATGCTGTTTTTGAGGCAATCTCTTCTGATTCCGGTGCATTGTACGTGCTTCTAAAGGCTTGCCAAATAGCACCTTGAGTAAAAATTTACACTCGGACTTGAACCAAATGGAATCGCTCAGCCAGAAAGATAAGAAACGGATCTTTGGGCCAATTCTGGAGATCCGGATATGAGGACTGGGTCAGATCAGTAAATCGAGAGAGAGGGGAGGCAAGGAAAACAGCGAGTGTGATGACGCTGTCCCTGCCCTACACTTTTTCCATTCATTGTTTAGTCTTATTACATACCATATGCAGCGAACCCTTGGGCATATATATCACGTGAATTATTCCCTTTTTATTTCGCATTTACCAATCAAAACTTGGCACCGCATCGTCTAATCAGAAGTTGACATGGGAAACTACACAAGGGTATGTCAAGTAGCTAAAATCCCATTTAGGTAGATCACGTTTTCTTCATTCCCTTCTCTTCTATACTGTGACCCGCTGAGTTCAGACTTTTCTATTTTACGACTCCTTTTAATGATTGTCTTTTTATTGTCAGCCCCCCATACTGTATTCAGCCGTTTCTAAATAGGACAGTTGGTAATATTATTTTTCCTTTTCTTTTCGTTTCGGGGCCCCCAAATTTGGAGTTATAGAGTGCACGCGTTTTTTTTATTTTAGAGACAGTCCAGGTCCTCTTTGGGACACTCAAACGCCATGGTAAAATCGCCAAAAGGGTAAACTTCTTGAAGATTGGTATTTAAACAAGTCAGAAGTTGTAATTGGACGGGAATGTGATAAGAAGGCAACGGGTAGATAGATGGACCAGGACAGAAAGAGGAGTGATAGCACAACCTTTTGGGCAGAAACTTGGTCAACAAATTGACTTCAATTGTTTCTTTGACGAGTTGTAGCTTGGTGCTGGTACTGGCAAGACTCACTGACGATTCCGGCGAAACGTCTAAGAATCTACAAAGTCCATAGCCTGACGCTAGGAATTATAACTAAAATAGCAGAGGATCTTGGACAACGTGCGTCCGAAGTCCGCCTGACAGCACGACCACGTTGCGAAAAATAGGTCAGTTCACTTCTATGCATAGAAAAGTGACTACCACTAAATAAAGGCCACAACATCTTGTTCCTAATATCTACGTATAGGCTAACATTATTGACTTTCTCCTTTCTGTCTTTTACTTGTATCTGCTTTTCTTTTTTATCTTTTCTTTCAGTGCGACGTGAGGATGTCCATTCTGCATGGTCAGGCATCCGACCTCTCGTCATAGACCCATATTCTAAAAACACACAGTCACTAGCTAGAAATCATATTATAGAGGTCTCTAAAACCAATCTTATCACGATAGCTGGCGGAAAGTGGACCACATACCGGAGCATGGCCGAAGAAACCTTGGATAAAGCAATAAAAGTAGGTGTAAGCTTGTATTAGCCTTTAAGCATTATTTTTATATTAGACTCATTTAAATTCATGGCAATTGCCTGATCTTCGAATTGGCTGACTTCATTGATCGTGCGATTTAGTATGCAACTCTCGATATTTACTCAAATGTGTTTGTACGCATTCTGTTCTATTCTATTTCGCGTCTTGCATTAAGCGCATTCCATAATCCAAATCAGTAAACTTGTCTTCCATATTAATATTTCACTATTGTTAAAGTGAAATGATGATATCTTCGTTGAGATATTTTCTAAAATTTCACATTCTAACTTATCATCTTTTACCTTGCAATTCTACAAATTTTCTCTTATTTTTGATTTTATTCATTTAGGCATAAGAAAACATTTTCCCCTAAAACATGTTTTGACTCATGCTATCTGCACGAGGCTTTAATCATTATCCTGTAGTAGAATATCATTTGTTTTTTATACTTCAACATTGAATTCTAAGAACAGTGTCCTCAGTCATCTCGAATAAAAATTAAATGTTAAGGTTAGGCTGTCGCAAAATGATGATTAATTTGCTAACTTAATTTTTTTACGGCTGTTTTTTATTAGCCTTTACTAGCTCCATCTTGCAATTTAGTTTGATGCATCTGTGCTGATGCATGCTTAAAATTACTAATCTCCAAACACAATTCTAAATCATTTTTAGTAATAGTGACTTTTTCCTGATTGAGGGAAATTACTATTTTTAATTCATATCTTACAAATTGTTCCAACAAGTAAACTTATATTTTCACAGGAGCCTGGGTTTTTAAACAAATTAGCATTCCTTATGAATAAAGATTTCATGTTTTCCCTTTATAAGTAGGTTTTGAGGACCGTTAGCAGATTTTTCTATATGGGCTGTATTCACACTAGGATTCTCTGAAACTATTGTCCCATCTGTGACCCAAGGACACTTATGGAGGTATTACAATGGTTAAAGCTCATAACTGAACGCTGCACTACCCGAATTTGAGTCCCGCTACGAGTGCTGATGAGACCTAGACAAGGTCGAAGCGGAAGTCCACTCTAGCTGGGATGATAATACCTTTTGGGAACTTGATTGAAAACAGGAAACCCCCTCTCAATTTGTTGATCCGACTCGGACCTCCTATCCAAATCTCCCCTATTGCCCCGTAGATCTATTTCTTATACTTTTAGTTGATTGATTTCACTTGGTTCCAAACCAAGTATATGTTTTACTCAAGGTGCTATTTCTCAGGCCTTTAAAGGTGCATACAATGCCGCCTCACCTGTAAAGTGCCTAGGCTCTGGTTACCATGCTTGCATATATATTAGGTATTGTCTTCACGCATTATCTTAGTTAAAGCCGTATACCCTAAGCAAACTGTGTTCGCCTATATCTGGTCGTCAAGTGGATTTCTAGTCAATTTGACTATAAGGGCTAATTTCTTTGATGATTGTGATTATCCGTCTCCCTAGTCCTGTTACTTCCAGGCAGACTAGACTCACTGAGACCGTCTTCATAGGTGAGGTACATGGGAGATGCGATGTCACCACAGTACCTACGACCTTGTTCGAATTTTTATGGAGGTGCTGAGACCCAGGGGGATCTAAACTTCATTCCCCTCTGTTTGAGATAAG